AACATAATTATTAATTTATTGTAAAAACATGACAGATAATGTGTGAAACAGATCCAGTTCAGCTGCTGTTTATCTTTTAGTTTCTATGTTTGCTGTGAGCTGTTGTCCTGTTTGGTGTTTCTGCTCCTCCATGATATCAGAGGCTAACAGTGGCCGGTGTGGGCGGGGCTCAGTCTAGTGATCTTTATATTTAAGTCCATGGAGCAGACAGAGAATCAGCTGGAAATATGCTAATGCWGCTTAAAGCTCTATCACACAAAGAAGCTACTTTTCAGAACTTCTGAAAAGAACCTCTCCTCAGATCCAAAGATCATTTAAGATGAACTGAGAGCTGTTCTGAGGTCAGACGGGTCCAGATCTGAAACCACAGAGACCACGTCCTCTAAAGAAGAGATTCTCAACCCACGGGCCGCGAGCGCCCCCTTSAGGGCCTCAAAAGAACAGCAGTTTTTAACTCTGGGCTGCAGAAGGCCGCAGGACCGCATTGGTTTTAATTAAAGGTGCAATACACTTTCTCACCACTTGTAGCAGTAGTGCACCACTCAGATGTTTAACAACTTTTTTAATGTGTAAAGAACTTTTTTAACGCTTAGATCCACAGAGAATGGAAACGCTTCCATAAAGTAGAAACAAAAATGAACCCATCAAAGTTTGTCACTAATATGAAGAGCAGCTTCTGGTTCTACCAGGCAAAAGTTTGAAAAGACTTTATTTTCATTTGCACTTCATCAGATTTAGTTTTACAAAGCATTTACATGGAACATTTTGAATGTATTTATTGTGTGACCACAGTTTTATTTATTGAATTGTCTATTTTTGTTATTGTTTATGTTAAAAATATATATATTTGTGTGCTGATAAGCCTGTGTGGTCTGTTGCTGACCTTTGTATTTGTTCAAATAATTGTTYTGGGCAGGTTACAATATAAACAAATGTTTATCATAATCATGATCAATTGACAGGAGTTTTACTTTTAAACTGTAAGTGTATTTAATTTAGTGATAATGTAAAGAAAATACAAATTAAACCAAGATTTATAGTAATTATAATTTTTGATCCATACATTGGTAATGTCTGACCGGG